TATTTTTAAACTTTTGTTGACATCAACTGGCCAAGTGGGAACCCCGTTTTTCCAGTTTTTTTCCAGACCTTAAAAAAAAAAAAAAAAAAAAACATTTCTTTCCTGATGAGTATGATCAAATTTAAAGCTGATTCTTTGACTGAATGGAGCTCTTATTATGAAATCTTTCCTGCTTTGAAGAGAAAACTCAAACAGTTTCTTGTGTTCTGCTTTTATTTTTGTATTAAAAACACCACATACTGGATATTACAGCAAATTTATTTGAGAAAATAAATACTGCTGACACCATCAGACATTCAAGATCATTCTGGCAACAGAATAACACAGCTGAAATCATTCTGCTTAACATGCTTTCAACTGTCGTCCTGTAAATGTTTATCAGCTTTAACGATTTCACACCTTGAGAACCTTCCTGACCGCCTCCTTGTACCGCAGCATGTTGCTCTCGCTCGGCTCTTCATTCTTCAGCGTCTCGACTGAGTCCTTATATTCCAGCACCTCCTCTCTTCCCAGCAGCTGCTCTCTCACTTCAGCTTCCTCTCCTTCTCCGGTAGCGTTGATGCGCAGCAGCGTGTCCAGGATGTTCTTCTGGGACGTGCTGTCCTCCCAGCTGTACTCCTCCATGTCTGCGCGGGTTTTCTCTGCCTCCCACGGCTCGATTTTCTGAAAAGGGAAAAAAAGGAAATATGTGGAACTACGGCTTCACACCACCAGGACAATATGAAATCACAGTACAGCATTTGTAAGCATCAACCACTGAATCTTGGATTTGGTTTGGATTTGATGACGCCATTTTCTGCACTAGTGTCTTTTGTGGCCACCAACAGGTTTTCTCCTGGTATCATCCTACATTTAGCTACATTTATTTTCCCTTGCTGAACAAAAGCATCCCGACAGAATGATGCTGCCACCACCAATAGCGCTTTTTAAATCTCCTTGTCTGAAAACAATTCTTTTAGACTTTCTCAAGATGGCTGTATTTATTCTGAGAATTTCTCTGAATCTGGTTTTGGTTTTTAAGAGCAAATTGTTATGAAGACAAATGCACACCACACTTTAGATGTTTTTTTGAGTTAAATGTTTTAAAACCACCTTAATTACATTTGTACCCCATTTTGTGTTGAGGTAACTCACAAAACCGCCATAAAATATACAGAAATTTGCAGTAGCAACTTGACAAAAATGAAGAATTTCAAGGGAAATTAATAGTATGAATAGATTTGGAGTAATATAGGCACTGCATTTTTCCTGCTGAGTGAAAACAGATCAAAGATTAAACAACTTTGAAACTGCTTTTTCCACTTCCCTTTTTGGCAACAAAGGCTAAATATCTTATATCTCATCTTCTAACAAAGTTATTTTCTCCTGCTCTGTGTGCTGCCTGTTCAGCCGTCATCGGGTTCCCCGGAGAACAATAAGAACCATTATCTTAAAGCGGAGCGGCGACTGGGCCATCAGTGGCGCTTCCATCCAGGTGTTTGGGGTTAATGACCATCATTTACTGCGATACGCATCTGATTCCTCATAAAACCCCGTCTGGATCAGGTCCAGGAGCAGAGTACGATACCTCATAGATCAGTAAACGCCCCAGAAAACCAAACATCAACACATTCAATTATTTAGCTTAGAAAAAACAGGTTGCAGCAGGTTGTTGTCCTTCCACTGGATATGTAGAAATATATATATATATATATATATATATATACACACATACACATACTTTTTTTTTTAATTAAAAAAGCAAAACTATTTTTCCAATGACTGTTTAAGCATCCATCAAAGAGTAGATTGTTCAGTGTGCATGCAGCTTACTTTCCAGGCCTTTCGCAGACAAAAGGCCACCTGTTCTTCCTGATTGCGTTTGTGTACCTTCAAACAAATCCGTTTTGGGAAGATGACAGGTGTTTTGCACAGGGTGGGGCGGGGTAGGGTGGGGAGGGGAGGGGGGAAGCAAGTCTCCCCCTCATGCTACTGAAAGGTTTCTTGCAGTCAGCTCCAGAGCTGATTCGGATTAGCACCCGTTGGAATTAGCAGCCGAGGTCTTCCTCTCCAAGTGGAGAGATATTATCACCTCAGTGGCTGCTAACAATTGGCTCCTTTGTGGGCTAGCATTACAACCCGATCGCCGCTCCACTGTAAAGTCGTCCAAAAGCTCGCTGGACAAGCACTGTGCCTTCCATTGTGTGTCCGAAAGGGCAGCGGACAATGTTCTGCTTCCTGACTCAAACACCTTTTTCTTGACTGGGAGATTTTTTTTAGTTTTCTTTTTCTTCCCCTCGCTAATGTGGCCAAGCCGTGACAGGAAGAGCTCCTGCAAGCAGAGGTTGGACAACAAAGAGAGTCATTTTCTTTTTATGTGCCTGGCTCCAAATGCGTAGGGACAGCGCTGAGGCTGACATGGTGTGGTCCAACACCTGATAGGGGCGTCTGTTTTCTTTTTTTCTTTACTCATCAGGGAGAAAATGTCAACTGGACAAGGCTGCTGTTTGCCGTCCTCCTGCCTATTTAGTTCCGTCGCCTCCATAATGGGGTTAGCTCTCCAAGAAAAGTGGACAAGATCGCTCTCTGTCCTGGAGAGAAATGCTGGCTCATCCGATAAGAATATATGAAGCTGAAGGCTTTAAAAATCCTGAAAATAAAGTCTAGAACATGCGGCACAAGCTGGTTGTTTACTATGGGTATGAAATGTTTTTGTATTTAATAGCACTTAAATGTTTCTGATCAAACCAAATGTAATATTAGAAAAAAATGGAGTAAATAACAACAAAAGTTTCCTAAACAATTAACTTATAGAATGAAAAGCCATCCAAAACAACTTGGCACTGAGAAAAATTGACCCCTAAACAACAAGAGCTTGGAAGACCGTTAGCAACTCTTTACCCCACCTGCCTATCTGGAGCTGAGGGAATTCAGATTTATTGGTTTTTAGTCCAGACTTTGACTAAGCCACTTTAAAACCTTTATTCTATTTTTTTTTTTAATTATTTTTCTAGGGGTTTTTTTTAGGTTCTCACTAGTAAGCCCAAGCAAAGGCAAGTTTATTTGCGAGGCCTTAAAGGAAACATGAAAAGAGCATAAAAACTGGGAACCGATATGAGAATTTGGGCCAATTTGAATATCCGATATCAGACAGACATGGATATTCCTGCCGATATGTTGTGCATCCCTAATAAAAACCTTTCAGTTTGTTATTACTTAATATGTCAACCACTTGAAAGCATTGTATAAAAGAAACAAATATTAAAATACAGATTTAAAGAAGTCTGGTTTAAACCCAACTTTAGGTTTATTTCACAATTTAAATTCATTTTTGGATTTTTTTTTAATTAAATGACTAATATTTACAGGGGACAGTGAAGGCTACAGTAGTTTAGATGGTTTTTTTGGCAGGCCGATCTCGCCCTGTTCCATCTTTTCTTCATTAGTGGATATCGCTTCTCGCTGCACCTTACTGAAGAACTGAAACCTTAAATATTACTTTTGATCCCAATTTGTTCTCCAATTTTCTTCACACTAGTAAATGCAATGTTTTTTTTAAAGCCATTTATACTTTTATTTGTGAAAATTTGTGACTAATCCAGGATTTAGCAAGTGCTGTAATTATATTTTCACACAGGGTCAGGCTGGTTTGGACAATTTTTTTTTCCTCTAATAAATGAAATCATAATCTGAATACTGCTTTTTAAAATTTACTCCATTTATCCTTCCCAAATATTAAAATATGTTTGATAATCCGAAGCATTTAAGTGTGACAGACAAGTACGTACTAAACAGATAAATCTGTAAATTCAAAGGTATATTAAAGGATAAAGGATAAGTAACACAGATTACATAAGTGGAAACCCGAGAGGCACTGCCTCCATTTAACGCTGCGGTGTGAGGAAGGCTTTCCAGAAACATCTCATCTCAAGCCCAACTGAGAACAAACCAAACGCGACAGCGGGTCTTTAACTGAACAGTTGGCCTTTAAATGAGCGGATGATAGTTGAAAGAAAACAAAAAAAAAAAAAAGGTCAGCAAAGTAAAGGTCAGACACTTACGGGGGGATTCTGAAGAGGCACAAACAATTCACCTAAAAACCCCGCAAACGAGGCACGGGTGCATCCTGACACGACAGAGTGAGCAAAACAAAAAGACAAGCTGCTCGACTTACCCAGGATTCGTGGTACAGGACAGTCAGCAGGTACATGGCGTAGTCATAGTTCTGCTGCCTCAGAGGGCAGCTGGGGCAGAAAAGGGGGATATTTAAGGGTATGTTTGATTTGTGTTAGGATTGTGTGTTTTCAGGGGGGGGCGGTGTTGTTTACCTTTCTGTTTTGATGGTGAGGATGTCTGAGTCTTTGCAGTATCTGTCCCCAACAAGTTTGAGCATCTTCTTGCGGGCGTGGTCATCCAGGTTCAAACTGGACAACTTTACCTGGAGGGCAGGTCACATGACGCACTTAGACGTTAAACAAATTACACAAAGTTTTCAATTCAGCTTTGAATAATTTCTAATAATTTATTATTACTTATTTGCATGTCTTAATGTATTTCTAATACAGTATATTAAAAAAAGGCTCAAGTTGTTACATGGAAAATCTCTAGGATGTGCCCATTTTTATCCGACTAATCGTCAGAATAATCGAAAGTTAAAATCGTTGCAGCCCTAATTTTAAGTGTTTAATTAAGTGACTGAAATATAGTCACCGTTCGGATGTATAGAATATCATAAAATAACATTCTGATGACATCAAATTTTTTAAAAACATACCTGTTGCAATTCAAGTTCAAGGCATCAGGTATGCAAACACGCACAGATATAACTCGTCTGTTATGGCAAGAGAAGAAAATGTTCTTTTACATGCAGAAATACGAATCTGGATGAATTTGCTCTAGATTTGTGATTCCTCTTTGAGAGATTTGCTCTCCAATCCATCTTGGAGCCTAATCCACCTGGATTAATTTCTAATTCCTACCTTGCTGCTATAATCTAAGGCAATGTGTCAGGAGAGCAGATGGTTGATGATTAATAGCAAATGTGACACAAGAGAAAACTATTAATGTCAGAATCTTCACTGTCCTCAGTATGCAACTATGGATACAGAAGCTCATGTTGTCGTCATGTTTTTCCCAAATGTCTCCACGTTTCTAAAGAGTCGCTTTTGTTGCATTTTCTGACTAAATTTAACCGGAGCAGAGCAAACTGTATTTTCTCAACTCGTTTATATATTCAGTATGTTTACGTTTGGTTTATATTAAGTGATCATGTTCTTGGTTTTCTGCATGTATTTGCATGTATGGCTTCAGTCTGAAAGAAGGATTGGGTATTGATGGATTAGTGGTAGCGCGAGGATTAAGTGGAATATTAAAATGTCTCCAAAAATATGTTGATGGCAAACTTTTTTCTGCCCCCCCCCCCCCCTTACCTGCTGTGGAAGCTGTTGGGAAGCAAGAGGGAAGGGGGGGGGGCAAATAAATAAAAGAAAAACCAACTAAGTCCAGGGCAAATCTGTCGGTTTAATAATGCAAAGTGTTTTGTTTGTGAATGAATGTCTGTGTCATTGCGTCGACTGGCTGCTGTGTAAATCTGTAATCTCGAGAAACAATTCAAGTTCAACTCAGTCAGGTAAAAACAGCGGCCGGGACTTTTTCAGAGCGATCGTCGTGGAAACTCACTTTCATGTGAACGACGCGAGCTGAAGGATTCCTGATGGAGGGCCCAGCAGACACGTAGTCTGTGCTCTGGATTTTAACTGGAAAGAGCTCGTCGCATTTGGCGTCGGTGTCCAGGGCCGAGGGCCACTCTGTGCAGAAAGCTAGCAGCGGAGAAGATAACATTATCATATTAAAACTCATGAAAACCAAAAAGAAAATACCTTTAAACAAGGCAAATAACATTATCCTGGACTGAGTGCTTACGTTTCAGAGCTTCACAGTGTTTCCTGATAGCTGCTGGTGTCAGATGCAAAAAGTTTGGTATCTGAAACAAAGTCAAAAAGATCATGTAGCGATTTGGATACGAGAAGGAACTTAAACACTTTTTTTTTATTACTAAAAACAACTTCTCCACCTCTTCCAATCAGCAGCTGGATGGTGAAAAAGCAAAAAAAAAAAAAAAAAACTTTCTGGGTTTTCCCCAACAAGATAATGTTCTCAAACACATCAGCATTAAAGTAAATGAACATTTAAGATTTGGATGCTAAACTGAAAATATTTGGATTTTAAAAGTGTGACCCACAGCAGAAAAACAAACCAATTTAAAAGAGCCCTACAAAAAATCAGTTGGAAAAAAGTGGTGAAATATTCAGACAAAATTGTTCCAGATGCTTATTGGTGGTAATCTAAACAATGACCCATGTTTATGTTTTAATCTATATGTGCAATTCTACAATAAATATAAAATGTGTGCACCCAATTCTTTTTCATAAAACTCCTCTGTTTCATGTTGTAGACACACACACACACACACACACACACACACGATGACATCAAGCATGTGGAATCATAACAAAGCTTTATATCATCAGAAAAAACAGCATTCATTGAATAAATGAGTGTAAGCAGATTATATAAAAAAATAAAACGTGAAATCCTTTAATGGCCCTTTTAATGTAATGATGGATATAATAATTCAGTCCAGCCTTTATCCCTCCATATTTTAATCTGCTCACTAACCTTTCACATGTTTGTTAGTAATAGATATATATATACTTACACCGGAATAATGGCTTAGTAGCTGGAAAATAAACAGTTTTACCATGAAAGGCATTTTATTTAATGCTACTACTGCTTTCTACATTTAAAATTACATTTGATCTGATGAAAATTATTTTCTACTTGTTACTAAAATTTGTTATTGAGAGTTAAAGATGGATTTTTTGGTGGGATGAATGAGAAGCTGCTAAGTATTTTTCCTTTCACTAAACTTTCCATCAATGTGCTTTAACAAAGCACTCAGTGAACTACCAGCTTCATTTACAATTTGGATAATTGTCAAGACTTAAAAAAAAAAAAAAAAAAAAAAAAAAAAAAAAAAAAGGAAAAAAAAAATAGTTTTCTAAGAAACTAAAATTTTGGCTCGCCATTAGCTGTCATCACTAAAACTAACAGAAACAGTAGCTTCATAAATTTAACTCTGGGTGTCATTTATTTTATAATGTAATGGGTTTAAGTTGTTGGAATAAAATAAATAAACACTTCAATAATGGTTTAATTCATTAATATGCACCAATACCAGTTTTACAAAGGAATGATGGACAGAATGGGAAAACAAACCTCCTCTCATCCTTTGGGTAAAGAGAATATTACGTAAAACACAAAATTATATGAAATATCCTGATATAATGTCAAAATGAGTGTAGATAATAATAATAATCTCTAAGGTGTGATGTTTCAAGTACTCAAGCCAAGTAAGTAACAAACAGCAGTTTATCTCCTGCAGGCAGAAGGAAATGAGTATCGTCAGGCCACCCGGCTGACTTCCAGCTGTGACGAATGTAAGTAGTGGATCTGCGAGTGACTCGAGTCCAGATGGGGCAGCTGCTGCTTGCTAATCCGTGCACAGAGACACGGCCATGAGGGGAGAGCAATACAGCAAGAGGAGCTCCACTAGCGCAGCAGCAGCAGCACTAACTTGGCTAGTCAGGAGAAATAAATCTTACATTTCTGAGAAAATTTGTAATTCAAAAAGCTAGAACCGCGTAATTAATTTTTTATTAATTTATTTATTTAGCTTTGGTTCTTCATAGGGCATGAACTCTGACCTTTATTAATTCCAAGTTGCCCTTCTTCTCTGGTGGAATGCCTCTCTTCACAGGGTAGCCCATCCGCAGAGGAAGAGGGACGGCGTTGGCCCTGAAGGGGGTCGCTGCGGGATAAACTGAGGTCCAGTCCTGATCCAGTGCCATCTTTTCAGTCCTAGGCTCCCCAGTCTAATGTACAAAAAAAAGAGAAAAAAAAAAAAGAGTGAAGATAATTTTGAAAGTTGTAAAATAATATTGCTGGTAGGTCTTGTGTTAACTTACTCCTCTCTTTGGTCTTCTGCCAGTGGATCCTTTACCGCCCCTCGCTGGAAGATTTAAAATTGACAGGATTTCTAGTTTTATCAAAGATATATTACTTTACCTGCTATAAACTGTTTCTATTTATAAGAAAAGCCAAAAAGCTGTAGCAGTATGTTCATTAATAAAGAACTATGCATGTCCAACGACTGAAAGTTTTACCATTTCATCTTTGCAAATTAGTTCAGCTTCAACAGTTTTTAAATTTCCCCACAGAATCACAATTGAAGTTAGTGTTAAACTTTGACTAGGCCTTTCTCACACATAAAAAATCTTTGATTTTAAATAATTTTATTGCTTTTAACCTTTGTAGGCTGCATTTATCTCTCTTCATCTTCCCTGACAGGGGGGGGGGGGAAACATCCCCACACCATGATGCTGCCACACTAAGTGACCTTGACTTGCCATGTTTTGCATGTAACTCAAAAACTTATTATTTTGATATTTGACATTTAATTTAGAGGTGTCATATCAAATGTCTCTAATTTAAATGAGGCATTTAATTTAGAGACATACGGACATTTTCCGTATTCGCTGAACACAAAAGCAAGCTCTATTTTATTTTAAGTTTTCACTCCCAAAAAAATGATTTTACGCCATACATGGTACAACACAATGGTCAGAGTATGTCTGAAATTTGTCTTGTATCACAGCAAAATTCGCTTACAATCTCATACAAACAGTATTGACTTTAGATGAAAAGACGGTGGGGATCACAGTTACTCTGATCTGTCCACATTTAGGCAAAGACGACAAAGCATTTTTAATCTGACCAAATCGTTTTCAAGTCTAATCACCATCACCATTAACTCTGCATAGCCTCAAGAAATGAAGGCACTTGACTTTGCTAACAGTTTCATATGGTTAGCTTAGCCAGCATCAGTAGCTCTTTATTTCTTTTAGCATAGTCAGCATTTCCAAAGACGAACTCACCTTTATTTGTAGAAGAAGAGTTTACTGTCAACGCCGTAGCATATGTGGCTCTGTTTCCTGTCTTCCTATAACCCACACCAGAGACATTAGTTCGACCTAGCAACAGAAAAACCTTGCTACCAAAGGACGCCATGTTTTTTCACCCGCTTCATTGACTACGGACACCGACGAGAGACAATATGTGGTAACCGCGAAACGACCAAGTTGACTCGTCGAGAGCGTTTCAGCGCCTCCTGCAGATGAAAAGAGTTTTTCAAGCTCTCATTTACTGTAAGGTAGGGACAATTCTTCCACACTGTGGCTCAGGTAAGGATGTTATAACAATTACAGATGGTATCCTCTCTTTATTTATCTTCTTAGTTATTTTCCATGAACGCGCTTGACCAGCTGTTGATTCTCCCTCTGCCAGCTGCTGCTTTCCAAACAGCTGCTGCGTTCAGTGACCACCGGTAAAATAGCCACAAACAATAAATATTTCCCCAACACTGAACTCGATTAAAATAAACCCTCGCTTATTAATAGGAGCCCATTTCCTCCACTTAAAAGAGTATTTCAGGACTACGAGATATAAAGCCATAGTTGTGAGATATAAGCTGATAATATCAATTTTCAAGTCATCATTGTGAGATACAAATACAATTTTTAAAAACTTTTTGTCATATTTATTACATACAAATTGCAGTTGTGAGATAGAGGATAATGGTTTAAATTTTTAACGTCATGTAGGTCATCATTTCAGTTTTCCAAATGTTAATTGTGAGATTTAACTATAAGATTATTTTCATTTTCAAAGTCATTAGATGAGATAAAAATTATAATCTTCTTAATTCTGACTTTGTATCTAAACTATGACAGTGAAAGTTGAAATCGTCTTGCCATTGACGATTCATACTCTGACTTTGTATTTCATAATTTGGTCTTTGGTTTTAAATTTAAGTAATGTTTTAAATTTAAAACTATAGAACTTACTACTTGTGATGTCTCATCCATGAAATTATTTTTATGTGATCCAAATAGATTTATCTGTTTAAGTAGGACGTGTACAAAGTCTTTATCTTCAGCTGCTGGTTTTAAACTTCACTTTAAAGCAGTGACTTAAACAGTAGGTCAAAACCTAATTTAACAAATAGATAAAATGCAAGTGGAAAACTTTTTTAAAATTTAAATCTGAAGTTGTAGTGTCAAGGTGATTAAAAATGGCAACATACAACAACATTGATATCCAAGTAGAATATTAACCTAAGTGATCATATTATTGATATTGATATTGATATTGATATTGATATTAATATTGATCTGCCCAGGGCAGATGTGGCTTCAATCCAGTATTTTTGCCTTCATCCACATGTGAATGTGAGTTTGAGTGGGAATGTCTGATTGCATTGTAAAGCATCTTTGAGTGTCCAAACAGTCATTTTATTTTATATTGCAAACTAAAAATAATACAGAGCTGCTTGGTCTGTGTTTATTTGCAATTTTTCAGTTTCCCAAACAAAATACTATTTAAAAAAAAAAAACACTATATTTTTTTCAAAAAAAATTTCACCATATCAAACAAAAGGAGTCGCTTGCAACTTTAGTTTGCTTGGACAGTCGGTGATGATTGCGTTTACTTTGATCATCAGTATTGTCAATTCCTATAAACTTTGAATGCAGCACTCGGCCAGGCGCAGCTGCGATGCACTTCAAGGAGACAGGTCCCGAGGGCAGCAACCGATTGAAGACTGGTGGTTTGATTGCATTTGCGATATTGCCTTTGTTTCTGAACGCTGCTGGATGATTTATTGATCATGCGCAATGCATGACTGGAGTTTGTTTTAATGAAAAGCTCAAAAGAAGGGATTTCTGCTCGTCTCAGTTGGAACTTGCATCACTTGCAGATTACAACTTGGAGTTCAAGGTAAATCCGATATTTTTTTGGTGACATTTATCGTTTTATACGTCTGTTGCAGCGAGCATATGTCAATAATAATACAGGATACTTTCCATCACAAGTTTTTCCTCTCTCTCTCTCTCAATGCATCAAATAAACAGCGATCACGCATGCTTCTTTTGGGGATTTTTCGACACTCAACTTCTTGTTTAACTTGCTTCCTGAAGCTGGAGGGGCGACTCAGTTTAACGTAAAGTTAGACAACAGTACCCGGTAATTGGAGTCCTGTCTGACAGTTCATTGTGTGTGGCATGAGGATGCGGTTTTTAAATGCAGAAACTCTCCGATACCGTCCTGTCACCATCTCATCTATAGTTGAGGACGGGGTACCTGCTCCTAATTGCCGCCGCCCCCCTCTGTTGCCCCAGGAGACATTTTCCGATCATTTAGCCTGAGCATGTCATCACCTGGTTCAGTTTCCCTCCTGGTAATACAACAAGCTGCCCTCCCAACCTGTAACTGAAGGCTTTTATGAATGAAGATGGCGTTTTGTTGAGTTGTCAACCTGCCCTTATATACGCACAAGTTACTTTTTCCGTGAGCATAATGGTTTTAAATTGCCATATCTTTTTTTTTTTTATGTAAATAATCTGCTCCATCCAGACTGACTGAGCTTGAGAAATTTCAGCAACCTTTACAATCCAGAGTCAATTCTTTAATCAGTCCAGCTAAATAAAACTTGCTTAGTGCAGCAAGTCTTACATGACCTACAAATTTTTTTAAAATAAATATTTATAATTAGATTTTTTATTTATTTATTTATTTAATTAATTATTATTTCTACTTTTGGGTTTTAAAATACAGAAAAAAATATCAGAATGTGCCAGAAAAGGATAGATTATCTTCTATGGGGTGTCAATATTTGTGTAAAATGATGTAAAAAGAAAAAGAAAGACAAGAAAATATTAAACATTACTGGTACTTTCAGTGTCGTTCTGCTGTAAAAAAAAAAAACAAACTCCCATAACCACAATTTATTGTATGTTTTTTCTTTTGTTTATCATTATTTGTAGGCAAAGTTACTAAGAACTGTTGTGAAGCCACAGGTCACAGACCCTGTGCACCCACACTTTACAGATTTGTAATCACAAAAAATAAATCATTTTCCTTCCATTCCACAATTTGGGACTTTATCCTGTGAGTGTCTATCACATAAAGTCTCAACAAAGCAAATGTGGCTTTTTTTTTTTTTTTGTTTAACGTCACAAGATGTGAAAAAGTTCAAAAGATATCAGCAGCTTTCCTAGCAGGTTCTGCTTCGCACCGTATCCAACCTGGTGCAAATGTGGCCAGATTATAAAACCCCAAAAAAGTTAAAGGGAGAGTAATGCACATGATCACTGTTACCTTCTTCACTTATCAGTCTAATTTTATTTTTATTCAGTTGCACGTTAACGCAACATGTTTTGCTCAAATTCCCGGGCTTACACTTTGGTGTGGACAGCCGAATTATTTTCTCTAAATATATTCAGAGTCCATGCGGTGCATCTGTTTTTCCTTTCCAGATGGAAGAGGAGCGGGGCGGGGGGTGTTTGACATCCATCCAGGGCAATCCAGCCGGATGGCGGTTTCACAAAAGAAAATCCTCAGAGAGAGAAAGTGTGTTGTAAGGGAACATTGCAAAATATTACATAAAAGCAAAACGTTACCTCTTAATGTTATTATGTTCACAGAGGTCACAAAAATGCAACCTTTAACTTTAGCAATCGACTAAGACTATTTTTATGAATGAAAATCAGGTGATATTTAGCTTTTTATTCTGTTTAAAAGCTAAATATCAACAAGGTGTTGAAAAAGTTGGTTGCGGCTTTCATCAGCTGTTTATACATCAAAAGAATATATAGACTCTGAAAGTATGGTGCTTAGATAATTACCTAACATGTATTGTAGGGCTGTAACGATTCCTCGAATGATTCAAGTGCCTCGATTATTAAAATTCCTCGAGGCAAATTATCTGCCTCGAAGCTTCGTTAAATTATATTTTATTAGTAAGCGCACCGTGTTCCGGCTGGGTGATTATTTATGTTGCGCAACGCTCTTCCTTCTCCCTATACAAAATTAAAAAATGCACAATAGGAACGGCGACATGCAGATAGACTGGTGGACTGATGCTTAGCGTAGCTTTATGAAGGAACTGGGAATATAAATTTCCTACTTTCCCAGTCGCAACGAGCTGCACATACCTGGCAGATGTGTTTCTGTGTGTGACGAAAGTGCAAATCCAAATCCTGTTGTTCACAAGTACACCCGGGTGGGCAAGATGTCACTGCGACCTGAAATTGTTTATTTCCTACTGCTACTACTGCTACTGCTGTCATGCTGAAAAGGAATAATCAAGGAGAAAGTCACAGGAGAGAAGTTAGCACTACGTATATAGAAGAGTTTCAAGATATTGAGTAACGGGTAGCACAACATTAGAGGGCAAAGTTGATTCCAGTTCATGATGCTCTGCATCCCCAGAACCAGAACCAAACATGGAGAAGCAGCATTCAGCTTTTATGCAACACAAATCTGTAACAAACACCTGGAAAATTGTAAAACAACCAAAACTTTAAATCTAGACTAAAACCCCACAAGGTTAGAGTTGCTTTTGTGCCATAATAAATTAAACACTAACCAATATTTTGATGTGTAATGACGGCACTTGGCAAAATGTGATGGTTCAATTGTGGATTTATGTGTTTTTATGATGGAAAGCACTTCGAACTGCCTTGTTGCTGAAATGTCCCACGCAGACAAACTTGATTTATGTGCATCCTCATGACTCCTGTCACCTTTTCCTTTTTTAGGTATGGAGACCCATGCGGCCCTACAAAGAGCACACTTCTCCGCCGCAGGTAGCTAGTTCTCACCTGCTGCTGGGCTGCTCCCTCCTGCGCAAACCTCGGCCAGAACCACCGGGATTTTAAAAGTCCTCATTAGCGCCCCTCTGCCCGTCCTGAAGGGGCACGATGGGGGAAAGACGAGCACGCTCCTTTCACATGACCTGCCATGTGCAGCGGGACTATGGCAGCAGGATGCGGAGCTCCTTCATACGCTGCAGCCCCAACGGATGTGCCGGCACGAGCATCAGCCTGAGCCTGGACCAGGAGATGGACCTGGCTGCCTCCACCGGTCCCGCTGCCGGCTGCGGTGCCTTGCGGGTCCCCGTGCCTGACGTCGGCCATTACTCGCCAGTTTCGCTGGAGATGGACCCCCCGGCGGTGAATAATGGATCAGGCTTCCCCTGCTTACCTCCAGCTGACACAAAGGACCCGGAGCTGCAGATCGCACACAGCCAGCCGTCCGTTACCCCCGTCCCGCCGCCTCTCCCTCGCTCCAGTTGGCTGCGCCATCATCAGAAGGAGTTCCAGAGTCCTTACATTAAGACTAGCATGCAGGGGGATGTTTACAACTTTCTAGAAAGACCCGCGGGGTTGAAATGCTTCCTCTACCACTTTCTAGTGTGAGTACCTGCCTGCTTTTGTTCTTTACCCATTTGGCTGCAAACTTCAGATGAACTCGATGTTGGTTTGAATTGAAACGTTTGTGAACCCAACTGCAAAGAGTTTAATGTAAAGAAAAGGTTTTAGGTTTCTGTATGCGATACAGATATCTGATGTTTAGTATCGGCTGATACCGATATGATACGGAAAAGCAGTTCTGAATTGACTTGAAGTGTTTCTTTTATATATAAATGTACTGAATTACACAATCTTTGATACCTCTGCACCAGTACAGGATGCTTAAATACACCTATAGCTCCACAAGCTTGGTCAAACATGTAAAAACAAACACTTTTACATGCTGCTTTACTCCTAATTGTTAGTGCAGTTAGTGTAAAACAGTCAATGTAATAAAGAAACCAGAAAAAACATTGACTACTTAGGTCAGTCGTGAAAATATTTCAAATGGTTCAGAAAGTGCAATTATCTAAATATAATGTAAAATAAGTAATAAAGCTCGACATCATAACTCATAGAAATAGACAGAGTAGATCTGCCCTTATTGGTACCGATACACATATTAATATCAAATTGTGTTTCGTTATTGTTGATGAAAACTAACAAAATGACCAAAATTTGCAATAAAACTTCAAGAAAGGAAAACTAAAACTTTAATGTCTGCTCACATGACTAAAATGAGCTGAACTTAGTCTTTGTTTGTGTGTCTCGTTAGTATGAAGTTGTAGATTTTTATTTTATTTTTTTTCTTGCTGTGCTGCATCATGTTTGTGGATCCCGGGCCGTCAACTGTCATGTCAGCAAAAGTTTACAGAAAAAGCGCTGGCGTCCAGTTATAAATGTGTCTTAGATGAAATGAAGTGTCTTGCAGTTGAACAAGATAAAACATTTGGTTCGTTATTAAAGGAGAAAATATCCCACAAACCTTAACATTTAGTAGTTTGGGCATTTAAAAAAAAAATAAAAAAATCAAACTACTACTACTATCAGGAATCCGAGAGTGCCCTGGTAATATGTGAGAGAACGAGCTTCTATGATCTCATAAGTATTCCACAGTTTAGCCGTCGTAAGCCTGAAGCACGAGGATTTAGGTCAGATTAGATGGAAAATATGAATAATATTCATCATAGACGTTCAATTGAAATGCCTCTACTAGATACTATTTACATTCATTTCTAAATATACGAAGCCTGGCTAAACTTTGCAACCAACTTAGCCGACGCCGTGTTTATATTCGACCTAACCGAGTAAATACTTTAAACACAGAAGTTTTATTTTCCATTCGTCTTTCCAGAAATGACTTTCAAGTCCTGCTACAGCTTTTCATGCTGTCCTATAACACGAAGTCCTAATTAAAAAAAAAAAAAAAAAAAAAAATTTAGTAATTTAACAAAACATTTAAACACTTCTTTTAAAATCATTTTTTAAAAATGTGATTATTTTTGGCCCATTTATCAGCAGTATAGTGCTGCATTTGATCATTTCTGTGGTGCACCCTCAGTCGGGGGTTTTTTGTGTGCATTTCTTTGTGGTCAGGCTGACGCATATATATAACTCAGAGGAAGGTGTGTGTGTGGGGGCAGGGAGCTGTGTGTGGGTAGATTTTATTACATCAGGCCACATTAGACAGTAAAAGAGTGTATAAGAATCATAAAAACTCTAAGACAGAAAGCACAAAATGAAAGCAAATGTCTGTTTTTTTCTGTCTCTATCCAATTTGCTCTGTTTTGGTGTTGTTTTCAAGTTCAAAATAAGTAAAGCCAATTTTCACTCTGCAGAACTACTGGCATGTTTTTTGTGAGTAATGCTTACAAAATGCAGTTTCAGTCCATTTGTATTTTTCATTTTCCTCATTTTGAGAGTAAAGCTTTAGGAAAAGTTGCAGTGGCTCAATGTTTTCAGTGATGCACTTCACTCTTTGGTAATATAAAGTTCCTTTGTTCTTCCTGTGGATGCCTATATTTAAATCGGAGGCTGTCATTGTCTCTCACAATCGGCAGACATGCAGATAAGGTTGAATAGTGATTTTAAACAGGGTGCAGGTGTAAATGTGCATGATTTTATGTCCCTTCTGTTATTCCTTTATTTTATATGTATGGATGGATGGATGGGATTTGCAACATTATTTTCTAGAAAAATCCCAATTTGTGAAAATTGGAGAAAAATATCAAAAATGTAAAAAGTTTCTCTCAATTGTTTTTACTTTAAGCTGAAATAAATGACCACTTTATACAAATTCTCCACGCTACAGTTCATTTATACTCATATAAACAAACATGACTGCATTGTGACATGTCATGGAGTTTCCTTGACATGTCACAATACATGTCAAGGAATTGTGACATGTATTGTGACAACACATGTCACAATTCCACAAATGTGGAATTGTGACATGTGTTACACAAAATAACACTTGTTTATTTATTTATTTTTTGTTTTAAAATGAGCATGAGTGACTATACTTATTGATTTCAGCTGCCTGGATTAGCCTTGTTGCTGAATCAGATGTCAAAATGGATTGTGTTGAATTGAACACGGATTAACAGGTTTAACTTATTTATTTATTTGTTCGGGAGAAACAAATAAAGCCATTTTGTTTCTCCCGATTCTCTCTGCAGAGTTTTGGTTGGTTTAATCTTTAATTGTTAGAGATATTGTTAAGAAGTGCCGCATTTAAACTGTAGAGCCTGAATCAGATGTTTTTTTGTTTTTTTTTTACTTGGCCTTTGGGCCTTCAGAAGATAAGTACATAAAGACATGATAATCCTTCAGTGATTTAGAGATTCAAGCTGGTCCCTTGAGTTGTGGATTTTCTGGCTTGTCAGAGACTCAAACTTACATTTTTAAATTTAAATTTTTTCATTTTTTATTTAATTTACACACTGTTGAAATATCTCAATGCGGTTTCTCAGAGTGGTGACACCGTCTCTAAATAAATCATCACTTCTTTCATTTCTGATTGATGGACTGAACACATCTATGTGTTGTCACAAAAAAACTTAATAAAAATGACATTGAAGTTTGTGGTTTTGATGCAACAAAATGAGACAATACTTTTGCAAACTGTTTTTTTTTTTTCCACTGAAACACCAAACAATAGAAACAATGGCTATATCCGGTCAAATAGACAGAATGTGAAATATTCTGTTATCCATAATTCTCCATGCAAAAAGTATCCTGTCAAGAAAAAATACTTTATGGGCTTTAATATAGCTGCTCTTCTAAAGTAAGCCTTTTTTCTTGATTACTGTGTAGTTTTTTTATTTTATTTTATTTTTTTATTCCACATTTATGTTACATGACTTAGAAATTAGGTCCGTGGTCATGAATAACCGGCAGCCCACAGTTCTGGCTGCCGTGTAATTATTTATTAGTTTCCAGCTTATGAAGTGCTTTGTTATGTTGATTTAGTTGCCTTTACTCTGCCTGATTGCTTACACCCATTCAACCCAAACTCTACAAGAAAGTTTCAGCTTTCACCTTTCCACCTTTTTTTTTTTCTAATTTTGCTCAACCAATAACTGTAAATGAAACATTTCTGGAAAAAAAAAAAGAGTGAGAGAGATCCTCTTTGCTTCACACAGATGCTTCCTTTGCTCTGCAGCAAATGTAATTCCTACCAGGAGTAACTGAAGCTCCAGTGTTTCCTCCCTCATAAAGGAGCGGGAACTTGAGCCTCGCCTTCATTTAAAATGAAACCCCTCTAACCGTTCTTCACTAACACTCCTTTAGGTAACTCTTAATTGTTAATGGCGATGGCTGGTGGCCATTCATTCTCCTGTTCTCTGTGGTGATCAGTGGAGAGGAAGGATAAAGAGCAATGACGGCCTTAATAGGGCGGCTCTAAAGGGCCAGCTCTATCTGACACACAATAAATAACACACACACACACACACAATATACTCTCAGACTTGCATTCATCTAAATCTGGTTAAACCGCATTGTGAAGATTTCTCAGACATCCACTGAAGTCAATGATGGATGTCAGCTGCCAACCTATGAAACATCCAGCATGACGCAGAGACGGCTCTATGGAGATGGTAAAAAACAAAAACACAGCAGTCTCATGTTCACCTTCAGTTTCTGCAGCATTGTGAAAATTAATCAAGTTTTAAGGCCTTAAAAACA